TCTTTATTACAATAAGGAGCGACGTTTCTGTGTAGGTTCTAATACCTTTATCAAGCAAGTGAAGAATCTACACCGAAACGTCGCTCCTAATTGTAAATAAGAAGTTGTTCATCCATGAATTCTTATCCTCACTTAGTACTCCAACTTCTAAATGCCTCTCAAAGAAGGAACTTAATGGATATCAACTTCTGTTTTAATGCATTAGCGATGTTTAGGAGTAGAGTCGCACACCGTTATCAAGCTGGAATGCATGTATTCATATGTATTTACCATGCAACTTCAAGAATACCAATGAACACCTACATATTATTATAATCCATATATCCTTAACTTGATTAACTGTGGTAATAGGAAAGAATCGGATTGTCCTTAACTTCTTTTCAGTAGTATAAATGCATGATTTGAACATTTGGCAGTTCTAGAATTGTTTCTTCACCAAGGTGTAGAAGTAAAATAACCCACAGTATAGCAATAGGACAGCACTAAGGGCTTTCTCGTTAAAATATAACAGTTCAAATAAGTACCTTCCTACAATCGATGTCTCTTGCATGCTGCTGTATATATCAAAACGAAATGCAAACTAACAAAATAACATATTTGGAAAATTGACAATTGGTTTAGTGGTTGGTCACCTGAGCAGTTGTAATCGCTATTATACAATGATCAACATGTAATTCCTGACTGTTCAAAGAGGCGTTTAATTCAATACAGTAAACTATAACATACTATACAGTCGTTTATAACGAACACGCTTATAACGAAATGACGGATATAACGAACTTATTTTTACTCCCGACCATTTGTTGTATATATGCTTATAACGAACTACGGTTATTACGAACTAAAATTAGTGGTCCCCTCGAGTTCGTTATAACCGTAGTCTACTGTATTGACAATTTTACCAGAGAAGTTTTAATATGTAATACTTAATCACCTGAAGTTATGAACGCTGAAAGCTTAATGGGTTTATGCGTTTGAGAAATCTACAGTATTTATTACCGTCAGGTGATCTGGAGTAACTGTTATGCACTCAAGATTGTACAGCAATGCACGCCCGCTTGTGACGTCAGAGATTAATGATAAAAACAGAAGACCAAAAATCTTAAATTATACGTGTATTAATATTTACACGATTAGGACTTTAAGACGGTACAGTTTTTACAGACTGAAATGCACTTATATCCGCAACAGTAATTAAACCTGAACGTGTATGGCCTCGCACTTGCTTTTCGCTCAGGATCAAATGCCACATTGAGTTAGCTCATCTGATTCACTCTCCCTGTCCTCATGTTGGCAATATACATATGGGAACAGAAAGTTAATACTTTGATAACTACACTCAAACCTTGTCACAACCTTTCATATCACGCCATTTATAATGTCACGTCATATAAACCATTTAGTGACCTCGTTATATCACGCCATTTAGTATACCTCGTTATGTCACGTCATTTAGTATACCTCGTAATATCACGCCATTTCGTACACCTCGTTATATCACGCCATTTAGTATACCTCGTTATATCACGTCATTTACTGTACCACGGTATATCGCATCATTTAGTTTTCTATACCATAAATATTTTGTTATGCCGAAATTTTTTCACTGTCTGGTATCTTTATTGGCATGTCGAAATAAAAACTTGACACTTACAACTGTTGACGTTAAGGGTCAAAGGGAGACTACTCTTCAAACCTTAGAGGCCTAACCTTGTTGAAATTTTTAACTATAATCTTTATCTATAAAGTCACGACCGAGATTAAAAAATAAAAATGTCCTTCAACATCATCACAATTAATAATGTAGAAAACAAAAAGCAGTTTCGGATAAGGAATTTAGCAGAATTTTCAAACGAAATATGTAGGGTGGGTGTTGGAAAATCCATGATGGCTGTTACTGACGGTGTACGGTCTCATATTAGGTCAGTATCAACCATCCTGGAATTTTACTGATGGTGTATACGGGCTCATATGCTGTCTGATTGGTCAATCACACTTTGAGGCATAATAAAACGTTCTATAACGTCATTTATGATACCATACAAAGTTACATCACGCCATTTATTAAAGCATACAACGCAATCTCATTAAAATCAGATCTTAGTTCTCGCTACCGCAAAACAAAGACATCCCATTACCGCTCACGTCAGACCGACCTTGCTCGAACTTTGACCGACCAATGGAATGGCTGACAAGAAGTCTACATTAGCCAATCAGAAGGCAGCTTTCTCGTGCTTTACGGCATTAATTTCAAATTGGCGACTGCGCTTCGAAACATATTTTGACAAGTTCTCGATAAAAAAATTGAAACCTGAACAAAAGAACATTCTGGAATGGCTAATTGATGGTCAAGATTGTATGGATTCAGTCGTTTACCCCGTAACTATCGTTCGGAATACCCCGTGTTAAAGTTTTCGAGGTTACATGATTAGAAATCACATTCCGACTGTCACATTCATGATCTGGTAAGCGAAGCTCTGATTGGTCGGATGAAAGGTCGTTCTGACGTGACCCCTAATTAGATGTCCTCATTCGTCACCACTCGCCCCTTTCCGTAACCTGCAAGAAGACTCGTCCCCCTATCGATGAATGTTTTGTGCGAAAATACGACAAACCAATCAGAATGCGCGCATAATGTCACGGTCTTCGTCAAAGAATGCCTCAGAAATAATTTTTGATTTTACACGTCTTGTATCTAAAATGTACCCATGACACAGTTAAATGTATACTGTATAATTCCGCATGTCCCGGTGTGCTTTAAATTGCATCTGAAATATATATAATATATGGGGAAATAAATGTGAACCATTACGCAACGAGTTGACAATTGTTTTAGGTACATGTATTCCTGTTTGCGCTAAGACGGTACCCGGTCGCAAAAATGGCCATTGGGAGGGGCACGAGTGCCGATTTATAGTGCTAGCTCACTGAGATACCATGCTGCAGTTTAACATGAATATCCCACTCAGACACAGTATACTGACTCCGAGCCGACCAGTCCTTGTTTTAGCCCCTTAATGCCGAGCGCCAGACAGGGTAACAACAAGTACCATCTTTTAACGTCTTTTGGTATGATGCGGTCGGGGATCGAACCTCGGACCTTCCGCTCTCCGGGCGGACGCTCTACCACTAGACCACGGAGACGGTCAACGCCATTTAGCATACCACGTTGTATTAAATCATTTATACACCATGCTACCTTGTATCACGCGTTTCACTATAAAGAACCACTTTATATCCCGGCATTTAGTTTACAATACCACTATATCACGCCATTTATTATACTATAACATGTTGTATCATACCTTTTAGTATACGATACCACGTTACTAGTATATCACGCTATTTCGTACACAAGACCACGTTATATTACGCCATTAAGTGCACCGTACCACATTATATAACGCCATTTATTATACCATACGGCGGTATTTCACACAGTTCAACGATATATCACGCTTTTTAATATACCATACTTATCAATTATTGACCATTTGTGAGGGCAATATCATGTTTTATCACGAGTCCTGCGGCCGAGGTCTGATGGACTGAAAATATTTCTTTCCTTTGAGTCCATTGGCTTAATCACGCAGGGCAATTCCATTTTTGATCGCTGCCGAACAGTGTGGGACTCAGGGCAAAACAGTGTTTAAATGTCATGTGACCCTTTCTCAACCAATGAAAACACAGATAAAATTTATACATGTATAAAACGTTGTATCACGCATTTTTGTATCAATACCACTTTATGTCACACCATATAAGTACACAATATTACATTCTACAAGTACATTAAAATTGGATTATTGTTAATACCTCAGGGCCTACCAAGGAAGGATGCCGAAAAACTACAGCGTGTTCAGAATACAGTTACAAGAATTCTGACAAGTACACCCAAGTGAGAACACATCACTCCAATAGTGACTGACCCACACAAACCTCCCAGTCCAACACAGTGCAATTTAAACTGCTCACTCTGGTTTACAAGGCAATGCATGGCTTGGCTCCTGCATATTGACAGGAACTGATAGTGTAATACAAGCCTATACTTTCTCTCCGATCAAAAGATCAACATCTTCTAGCAGTACCAAAGTCTCGTAACAAAACATACATGTATGACGAGAGGTGATTTCAGCATGCTACAGAACAATCTGATATAAGAAATCCGAGAAGCAGAAAATCTGCCAAATTTAAAAAAAATATACTTAAGACCTATCTCTTCAAGAAAGCCTTTTACGAGACCAATCTCGGTCTAAGTGCAATTGGGCAGTTGTTAATCGGAAAATGTTAGACCGTGTCACCTTTATATTACGCCATTTATTATACTAAATCAGGTTATATCACGCCATATATAATACTATACCACGTTTAATATATAATGTCATTTAATAATTATACATATCACGTTATATCAAGCCATTTATAATACTATACCACGTTATATACATGTATATGGCGCCATTTAATATACATATAACGTTATATCACGCCATTTATAATACTATACCACGTTATATATATGACGCCTTTTAATAAACATATAACTTTATATCACGCCATATATCATACAATACAACGTATTTATATATAACGCCATTTAATATACATATCACGTTATATCACGCCATATATTATAATATACCACGTAATATACATGACGCCATTTAATATACATATCACGTTATATCACGCCATATATTATACCATATCACGTTATATCACGCCATTTAATATACCATACAACATCATATGACGCCATTTATTTAACCACACCACGTTCTATAACGCCATGTCAGTCAGTCGGTCGGCTTTTCCGGCAACCAGAGGCGTATCTTGTGATATGTTTAAAGACAGTAGACCAGTTGATGCGTAATCGGTTTTATCAAGATCGGTCACTATCGATTCACCACCGATGAGACAAGGCGTTACATGAAGACGGTAGACATACCGCACAACTCACCAACCCAGCTATCTGTGTGGTAACCATCAAGTCGACTCACCTTGTTCAGGATAAACTGCCTTGGGCACATCTGCCTTGAAATGATGTTCCGCTGACCTCCTGGCTTGAAGGAGGGACACCCGGTCACCCGCTGAACACTGCAACAAGCAAGTGAGTGAGTGAGTGAGTGAGTGTGTGAGTGAGTGCTTGAGAGTGTGAGTGAGTCAGTGAGTTGGTTTAACGCCGCCTTTAACAATATTCCAGTTATATCGCGGCGTGTCAGATTAATGTGGGAGGAAAGCCCGAAGTGATGCATGTCTCAGACGTTTACCACTTCGGTGAAACCCACGAGCACGGGTATGGTGCTGACAAACCTAGAAACATAATCGGGGCGAACGGGATTCGAACCCACAATCATAGGTTTTCTGGCGTGCCCGAGGGACGCAACTCTGCACAGCGAATCGCGGCGCCTTAGACGACTGGACCACCCGTGCCCCCACTTGAGAGTGTGAGATTGAGAATGTGTGTGTGTGTGGGTGTATGTGGGTGTGTGAGTGTTTGTTGACACAGAAACATATCACTGAGGTTTGGATCAGATAACCCAGTGCCTGGAAGCCATTCCCCAGATGCACAATTGCACATGATAAGCCATTCCGGACATACACCCTTACCAACCAATGCTCTTAGAACACGGATGAGGTACCCGGTGTGGGGTATCCGGGACGATATACACGGTGTGAGTTACCGGGTGTGAGATACCCAATATATAGTACCTAGTAAGAGGTATATGAGATAACTGGTATGGGGTATACAGTCTTCGGTATGGTATACCCAGTATGAGGTATTCCTTATTGGGTACTCGGTAACGGGTATCAAGTATGAGGTAAGCGGTAAGAGGTTTTGTTTGTTTGTTTGTTCTTTAACGTCACACTCAGCAATATTCAAGCTATATGATGGCGGTGAGCACGGATCCACGAAATTGGGATACAATGACATGCGCCAACCAAGGGCCCCCCCTAACCAAGTCAGGGAACCTGACCACACTATCCTCTTCATCGCCTCTTACGGTAAGTGAGTGAGTGAGTGAGGTTTTACGCCGCTTTTAGCAATATTCCAGCAATATCACGGCGGGGGACACCAGAAATGGGCTTCACACATTGTACCCATGTCGGGAATCGAACCCGAGTCTTCGGCGTGACGTGCGAACGCTTTAACCACTAGGCTACCCGTTCGTCGCCTCTTACGGTAAGAGGTACCCTGTATGAGGTAGCTTAGCCTGTTCTGGGAGTTGAAATATTCTATTCTATAAACGAATTGTTTATATTTATATTATTATTTTGATTATATGGTTTAAATAGTTTTCCTCATTTCAGAGTATGTGTGAAATCTGTATGTGAGCGTTATATAATTGTGGCAGGGGTTGACAATGCATGGGAGGTAACCATTACATTACAACAGTGAGTGAAGCGCAGTAAAATATGTGAATGTTCTAAGTGAACAGATGTGTACATCTGCATACATGACCTCCCTGTCTCTAAGTGAACACTGTATAAGTTACTGTATACATGCGTCAGGAGAGAGAGAGAGAGAGAGAGAGAGAGAGAGAGAAAGAGAGAGAGAGAGAGAGAGAGAGAGACAGACAGACAGACAGACACCTGTATACATGACGTCACTGTCTCTGTGTGAACATATGTATGTATCTGTATACATGACGTCCCTGTTTCTAAGTGAACAGATGTGTACATCTGAATACATGATGTCCCTGTATCTGTGTGAACATATGGATGTATCTGTATACATGACTTTCCTGTCTGTGAGTGAACACTGTATACACGACGTCCCTGTCTCTAAGTGAACACCGTATACATGACGTCCCTGTCTCTGTGTGAACATATGGATGTATCTGTATACATGACGTCCCTGTCTCTAAGTGAAAAATGTATACATGACGTCCCTGTCTCTAAGTGAACACTGTATACATGACATCCCTGTCTCTAAGTGAACACTGTATACATGACGTCCCTGTCTCTAAGTGAACACTGTATACATGACGTCCCTGTCTCTAAGTGAACACTGAATACATGACGTCCCTGTCTCTAAGTGAACACTGTATACTAGTACATGACGTCCCTGTCTCTAAGTGAACACTGTATACTAGTACATGACGTCCCTGTCTCTAAGGGAACACTGTATACTAGTACATGACGTCCCTGTCTCTAAGTGAACACTGTATACATGACGTCCCTGTCTCTAAGTGAACACTGTTTCCTAGTACATGACGTCCCTGTCTCTAAGTGAACACTGTATACATGACGCCCCTGTCTCTAAGTCAACAGATGATGTGTACGAACTTGTATCCAGTTAAACATATACTGCGTAGATCTGCGAAGTTGTTGCACTTTGCTGAGATTTATAACTTGCACAATAAAGACCGACGTCTTCATCTAACACATGACATACCTTGCTTGGAGGAGTGGGTGGGTACGTAATGGGCGTGGCCTTGATGGTCACGCGTCTATTATTCTTCCTCTTGTAGGTGTCCTTATACTGGGTGGACCAGGGGCGGGGCACTGCTGTTGGCATGTCGACCGCTTCGCTGAACGCCGATTCCTTCTCGTGGATCTAATTATTTTTAACTTGAAAAAGCTGAAAGAAAAAAATGAGTATACATACAACAGGTACAAGTATGTTTGTATATATACATATGTATATGTAGGTGTACCAGTATATGTAGGTATATGTATGCATATTTGGGTATATCAAGATATATGTAGTATATCTAAACTAAGCGGCAAAAGAAAGTATAGGTTGGCAATTTGTAATTTTCCTAAAAAAAGCGATAACTAGTGGAAAGTGGGTATTGGGAATATGACTGCCCAGGAACAGGTACCAAAAAACACCTCACCCAAACGCACAACGCTCGTGCGGTGACAAAACAATGGCGAAACGAGAGAGAGAGAGAGCGAGAGAGAGAGAGAGAGAGAGAGAGAGAGAGAGAGAGAGAGAGAGAGAGAGAGAGAGAGAGAGAGAGAGAGAGAGAGAGAGGAGGGAGCCATCGGTATGGCCGAAATGGGGGCAACACAGGTCCAAATTGCCAGAAGGTTTGGTTGTACACCATTGATAGTAGCCAGGCTGATTCAACGGTACAGGCAGACAGGGAAACCTGAACGCTGTGCAGTACAGAGACCAAGTGTTGCAGCCAGTTGTGCTTCCGTTCTTACAAAACCAACAGCAGGGGACATTGTTTCAACACGACAATGCCAGGCCATGTACTGCAAGTCTGACTCGAGACTTTCTAAACCAGCAGAACGTTGACGTTTTGCCCTGGCCTGCCCACTCACCCGATATGAATCCTATTGAATATCTGTGGGACCATCTTGACAGACAGATTAGAGCACGCCATCAGCCTCCCGTCAACAGACAAGAATTGCAGCAGGCCCTGAGAGACGAGTGGCAACGGATTCCAGTCCACGTCATCAGAAGACTGACGTCATCGATGAGGCGGCGTATCACAGCATGCATTGAGGCAGCTGGAGGTCATACACGCTATTGAAGGCAACTGTGTCGACAATGAACTTGTAGTGTGTCTTACAATTTGTTGGTGACATTTCAGACAACTTTTGAAAATGAAATTTCTTACCCCTCCAGTGTTTACCTTGAGCTTACATTACCTGTGATTGCACAATTTCATTCAAACTGTGGTTGATCAATCAGTTGTTACCCCTCCCTAGATTATATTATAATAAACAACAAACCCTCTTCTTGTTATTTTTGTTTATCGATCATGGAACTCGACCTATACTTTCTTTTGCGCCCAGTTTAGACATATATAGGTATAAATAGGATTATCAGCATATTCTTTATTTGTTGCACGCCGCAATATTCCAGCTATATGACCGCAGGTCAGAATATATATGTATATGCGGGTGTCTCAGATTCTGAAAGTATATATTGCCGATGCGATGTAAAATTTAACTCACTCACTAACTGAAAGTATAGGTACGTATATGTGGTTCTATGTAGGTGCGAGGGTTGGCTAAAAATGCTCAGAACTACGAATGATGCATGCGTACACCCTCAACAGTATGCATGTAATAAATACAATAATGATTATACATTCCATGCTTAGGGGTTGCACTTGGACCTACCACACAACCAGGCAGCATATATCCTTAGACATCAAAGTGACTGAATATTCTCTGTTGGTGAAAATGGACAAAAGTGACAACCATGCTGTCATCAAGTATCTCCAACTAAAAGGGCTCATTACAACGGCCATCCATGCTTACATGGTGTCAACTTTAGGGGATGATGCCCCTGTCTCTGTGACTGTTCAGAGGTGGGCAGCAGAGTTTAAGAGGGGAAGACAGAGTCTCGAAGGTGACCTAAGATCAGAAAGACCTTCAACTGCCGCACCAAGAAAAATGTTTAACAAATACACGATAACTATGATTGTAGATGATCGGCAATTCACCACACGCCACACAGCCAATAGAGAAGGCATCTCGCATGAGAGAGTTGCGAACATGGTGAGGCATGAACCGGGCATGAAGGTTTCAGGGCTCCTGACAAGAGAAGCGCCAGGTTCATCATCTAACGTTAGGATTTACGCGGCCAGGGGATCAAACCACCGACATTCCTTTCCACGAGGCAAGTAAGCATATATAAATATACATAGGCCCTTATAGGTGTATCCCTATATGAATGTATTGGAGACGGACACGTTGTATACACAGGCGTAGAAGATAGACATGGTGTATAGGCAGGTGTACGAGACGCGATGTAAGGATGTATAGCATTCGTCGTTTCGGAAGAGATTTGTTGTTAATATCAGTACAAGTGTTGGCGAGAGAGAGAGAGAGAGAGAGAGAGAGAGAGAGAGAGAGAGAGAGAGGAGAGAGAGAGAGAGAGAGAGAGAGAGAGAGAGAGAGAGAGAGAGAGAGAGACGGCTTCCACACAAGACTGGATACACTACATCACCAGAGACTGATATCTGTTCACTACAAATTGTTCTTTCTAAATTTTTCAATTCTTAGATTTGCACAGATGGTGTTTGAGGAAATCATTCAGAAATCCAGGGATTTCAATGGACAATTTAAGCTCATTAAACTCAATTCACGATCACTCGGATCGCAGTCATTTGAATTATTGAAACAGACATCTACTTGAATTCTTTGTTTCAAACCTCAGGTAAATGCCATATGGTAGGATCAACTACGTGAAATCTATTAGTTGCCTAGCAACGAGATCAGTTATTTTTTTTATGTTTAACCACAAAGAGAAACGACAAATGTTTGATATCGTGTTTTGCTACTTAATCAACATTTGCTCAAAAATCGTGCTGTCATCTCGGAAGTATGCTTGGCAGGTGGCTGCGTATACAAAAACACATGACATTTACATTTCGTAATGCAGATAGTTCAGTGTAAAGGGCTACATTGTTCTACCAAGGACGAAGGACAGGGATCACAATTAATTCACAACTGCCATCGTAACAGCAAGTCCACTTACCTCACGCCATGCCATGTACGCGGCCAGTACAGGCCTTCAACACTGCTGGTATGTTAATAAGAGTCCGAAATATTACTGTACATAGTTTGAAAATTGTACCCAGTGAAAAGGCTGAATTGAACACAAAGACAAACAAAGGTCTCCGTGCGTAGGCAGTGAAACAGTGACTCAACAACCGACTGGGCCTAGATCAGGGTGCCTTGATCAGGGTACGTCAGCACGCATGTGTTCCCCGAGCCCCGCCAGAGTGAGTTATAGATACTCCTAGACACGCTAAGCCACGTGCATGTCGCTATTGACACGAAGCATTAAGTTGTCGATAAGACTGCACGTAGAAATCTAGAACATACCGACTCATTGACACGAGTTTGCCAGCTCTGGAGGTACAATGAGGGTCTGCATCGTGTGGGGAGGGGGTGAACGAGGTCGCGTAGGGGTACCATTGATGAGGGTGTGCATCGTGTGGGGAGGGGGTGAACGAGGACGCGTAGGGGTACCACTGATGAGGGTAGATGTTTACAAGGAAAGGGAAGACCAGTTTAAGGTAGATGTGGACGAGCAGAGGTAGAACTGTTTAAGGTAGATGTTGACGAGCAGAGGTAGAACTGTTTAAGGTAGATGTTGACGAGCAGGGGTAGAACTGTTTAAGGTAGACATGAACGAGCAGGGGTAAAACTGTTTAAGGTAGATGTTGACGAGCAGGGGTAGAACTGTTTAAGGTAGATGTGAACGAGCAAGGGTAGAACTGTTTCAGATATATGTGGACGAGCAGGGGTTAGAACTGTTGAGGGTAGATGTTGGCAGGGAAGGGGTAGAACTGTTTAAGGTAGAAGTGGACGAGCAGGGATAGAACTGTTTCAGATATATGTGGACGAGCAGGGGTAGAACTGTTTCAGATATATGTGGACGAGGAAGGGTTAGAACTGTTGAGGGTAGATGTTGGCAGGGAAGGGGTAGAACTGTTTAAGGTAGATGTTGACGAGCAAGGGTAGAACTGTTTCAGATATATGTGGACGAGCAGGGGTAGAACTGTTAAGGTACATGTGAACGAGGAAGGGTTAGAAGTGCTTAAGGTAGATATGGATGAGCAGGGGTAGAACGATTTGAGGGTAGGGGTGGACGGTGAAGGGGAAGAACTGTTGAGGGTAGATATTGGCAGGGAAGGGGTAGACCTGTTTAAGGAAAAATTGTTGACGGGGAAGGAGAAAAACTGTTGAGGGAAGATGTGGACAAGGAAGGCAAAGAGCTGTTGAGGGTAGATGTGGACGAGAAAGGGAAAGAACTTGTGGACGAGGAAGGGAAAGAACTGTTATAGGTAGATGTGGACAAGGAAGGGAAAGAACTGTTGTAGGTAGATGTGGATGAGGAAGGGAAAGAACTGTTGTAGGTAGATGTGGATGAGGAAGGGAAAGAACAGTCGGGGGTAGATGTGGACGAGGAAGGGAAAGAAGTGTTGTAGGTAGATGTGGACAAGGAAGGGAAAGAAGTGTTGTAGGTAGATGTGGACGAGGAAGGGAAAGAAGTGTTGTAGGTAGATGTGGACGAGGAAGGGAAAGAAGTGTTGTAGGTAGATGTGGATGAGGAAGGGAAAGAACTGTCGGGGGTAGATGTGGATGAGGAAGGGAAAGAACTGCTGAGGGTAGATTTGGATGAGGAAGGGAAAGAACTGTTGGGGGTAGATGTGGACAAGGAAGGGAAAGAACTGTTGTAGGTAGATGTTGACAAGGAAGGGAAAGAACTGTTGTAGGTAGATTTGGATGAGGAAGGGAAAGAATTGTCGGGAGTAGATGTGGATGAGGAAGGGAAAGAACTTTCGGGGGTAGATGTTGACGAGGTAGGGGAACAACATTGCAGGGTAGGTGTGGACAAGGAAGTGGTAGAACCGTCCTTAGTGGATGTTGACGGGGAAAGGGAAAAACTGTTGAGGGTAGATGTGGACAAGAGGAGTCGCGGTATACTGTTGTGGCGTGAAAGACAGCGGTGCAGGGTATATGTGCGGATATATTCATGTAGGGTACGGATACACGAAGGATGGTAGGGATGAGCACGATAGGGAGGTTATAAAACTTGGCGTGATTGTTCTTGTTGTCCTGCCTTGATAATACATAATATTACTGAAAGCCGCGTAAAATCTCATTCTCACACATATATTTCTGCTTTTACAACGTCTAAACTGCTACAAAATAGAAATATGAAAGCAGCTACGCCGGCTTTGTGACCAGGCCTTCTGGGCTAAACGTTGGGCGCAGCAGGATCTCCCCCAGATCGACGTGGCAGTCAGCCACGACTTGCCTGGGAGTGCACGATTTAGGGAGACGGTTTTAGTAGGACTATCTCGCCACTCGTCTCCCAGCTACAGCCCGGCAACTGTCAGTGCCGGAACGTTCTAAAGAGATATAGGTCTAGAGCCTGTCCTGTAGTGAGATATACTGATCGATCACTGATTTGTCATCTGCGGAGACAATATGTACAGTATCACACATCAAGTCCCGCGACATTAACTGCCACTAAAGTGATGGGTTGACAGTGTCACATTGTCCTAGAAGCAAAGTCTTCCACACCTATATACTCTGACATACATTGTACAACGAGCCACACATGTGTCTGATCATACAGCGACATCTACCCCAACATATTGCCATACACCACTACATCTACACCACTACGTGTTGTAACACAACGACGACGACGCAACCATGCGTTGTCAAGCAACAGTTTCTACACCATAACGTGTTGTCAATCAACAGTTTCTACACCACTACGTGTTGACACACAACAGTTTCTACACCACAACGTGTTGTCGTACAACAGTTTCTACACCACAACGTGTTGTCATAAAACAGTTTCTACACCACTACGTGTTGACATACAACAGTTTCTACACCACAACGTGTTGTCATACAACAGTTTCTACACCACAACGTGTTGGCATACAACAGTTTCTACACCACAACGTGTTGTCGTACAACAGTTTCTACACCACAACGTGTTGACATACAACAGTTTCTACACCACAACGTGTTGTCGTACAACAGTTTCTACACCACAACGTGTTATCGTACAATAGTTTCTACAACACAACGTGTTGACATACAACAGTTTCTACACCACAACGTGTTGACACACAACAGTTTCTACACCACAACGTGTTGACATACAACAGTTTCTACACCACTACGTGTTGACATACAACAGTTTCTACACCACAACGTGTTGTCGTACAACAGTTTCTACACCACTACGTGTTGTCATGCAACAGTTTCTACACCACAACGTGTTGTCGTACAACAGTTTCTACACCACTACGTGTTGTCACACAACAGTTTCTACACCACTACGTGCATCATACAACAGTTGTACACCACTGCGTGCTGTCACACAACAGTTTCTACACCACTACGTGTGCCACACAACAGTTATAGACCACTGCATGTGTCATACAGCAGTATACACCACTACGTGTTGTCACACAACAGTTTCTATACCACTACGTGTATCATACAACAGTTATAGACCACTGCATGTGTTATACAGCAGTATACATCACTACGTGTTGTCACACAACAGTTTCTACACCACTACGTGCATCATACAACAGTTTCTACACCACTAAGTGTATCATACAACAGTTATAGACCACTGCATGTGTCATACAGCAGTATACACCACTACGTATTGTCACACAACAGTTTCTACACCACTACGTGTATCATACAACAGTTATAGACCACTGCATGTGTCATACAGCAGTATACACCACTACGTATTGTCACACAACAGTTTCTACACCACTGCCTGCTGTCATAAACTGCTGTTACACCTTTCGTGGTGTCATGCAGCAACTACAGCTACATTTTCACCAACACCACACGTTGTTTACACTATACGTGTTATGATACAACGACCTCATTTCCACTTTGTAGACACTGTAGCAATACAATGTAATATGCTTCAACTGGAGCGGTCACACATTTGATGAGCTACAATGTATATCATTTGTGGCCATACGACGCTGAAGACAAATGTTGTGACACTGAAGGAGTAGCCGTTCTTGAAGATAAAGTGATTGACACTGAAGGAGTAGCCGTTCTTGAAGATAAAGTGATTGACACTGAAGGAGTAGCCGTTCTTGAAGATAAAGTGATTGGCACTGAAGGAGTAGCCGTTCTTGAAGATAAAGTGATTGGCACTGAAGGAGTAGCCGTTCTTGAAGATAAAGTGATTGACACTGAAGGAGTAGCCGTTCTTGAAGATAAAGTGATTGACACTGAAGGAGTAGCCGTTCTTGAAGATAAAGTGATTGACACTGAAGGAGTAGCCGTTCTTTGAGATAAAGTGATTGACACTGAAGATGTAGACGTTCTTGGAGATAAAGTATGTGACACTGACGATGTACTAGTTTTTGTAGATACATTGTGTGACACTGAAGAGGTAGGCGTCCTTGAAGAGACAGTGTGAGACTCGTTTACGTGTTTGCCCCGCGAGCTGTGTCACCTACACTGGTCGGGTGCAACACAAGGACATCTGTGGAGATGGAAACGAGTCATATTTCGGACTTGGAGTCACTTCAGTACAATATGCCAATGGTTAGTTCTATATCATGAAAGCTGAGTGGAGAGCGACACGACTGCTCAGCTTATAGAAGAGATGTATTATTGGGTGCCAGACGGATCGGGACGCGTACTCCATGTCGATCTGAAAGTTTCGAGAGGGAGAGTCCATTGGAACTAACGACCGCTTCTTCGGCAGTTTTAGAAATTACCATCCAGACTCTGGAAATTGCTGATCAATAAAAGCAGTCGGCTGATAAATATAATGTACTTTAAGACCGTTATATCCTTCACGAATGTTTCCAGACGACCAACAAGTGACGTTCTTCGCGATCAACAATGGCTGATGTAAATGCACAAAGCTTGATGCACGTTACTTCTTTTATTAAAAGTGTGGAAGCACAATGTCAGAACATTAACCACGTTCTAGATGAGAAACTAAACATGCGGATAATGACTGATCTGGACATCTGTCTCGTATGGGAACTGTTTGACATTAAACCTACCGCACAGATGCTGTTCACACTTCATACTTCACACGATATGCAAAGTGAAAGTCAATTCTTGTAAATATGTCTCTATTTTGTACCGCGAAGGATACACAATTTGGTATGTGTGACTTCATATTTACACTGACAGCCACACACTTCCTCAA